GGTAAACACACCCGCCCGCCAGCCCATCCGCCGCCTCTGCCCTTATAAAGTCGGCGGTCGCCGGACTTCCTGCTGGAGCCCGCGCCCCCTCCCCTGGCAGGAGCGGGTGGGCGGGCTCCCGGGCGTGCGGAGTGGTGCTCTGAGCCCTACGAAGTGAGTGAGGGGCACCCTGGGGCGCCAGGGGCGCAGGAGGGCCCGCTCTGGGTCACCGTCCACGTGGCAGCTGTTGCCTTGCACCGAGAGACTGTAGGGACACGGGTGGCCGGGTGCGTAGAGAGGGAGGGCTTGCTGTCGTCCGGCTCCAGAGGAGAAGAGTGGTCTTATAGGGGCCACGGGAAGGGGGGGTTCTTATGTCAGCCTCGGACTTCCCCTTTCTCCCCACGCTTGCTCCTGGGGGGTCCTTCCTGGCGCAGGAGGTCAGCTACTGGCTAGTTAAGGCTTCAGAGCGCGCTCTGCCCCTCGCTGACCTTTGGGAACTTAAGGAAGTGCTGGTTTGGCCCCCGGGAACGGGGTCTAAGCGCTCTGGCCGAAGTGGAAGAGCTGGGCAGCGCACCAGCGAGATGTTGCCAGCAGACGGGACCTGCCTTATCTCCGATAGCGGCCCGGCGGGAACTCAGTGCCGCGTGTGCCCCGGCACTGCCAGTGCGCCCAGAGCCGGCTCAGCGGCACCCGCTGGGAAGCCCAGGGCTCTATGGGGTCTCCATGAAGGCCCCCTCGTGGGCAGGCTCGAGGGGTCTCAGGAGCCACCACGATGCAAGACCCTAGCCAGGGGCCGCTGGGGGGCCCTTCGCTCAGTGCTCTGTTCCTGTACAGGCTAGCGGCCAGCATGGCCCCCACGCTGCAGCAGGCATACCAGAGGCGCTGGTGGATGGTCTGCACCGCAGTGCTGGAGAACCTCTTCTTCTCCGCCGTGCTCCTGGGCTGGGGCTCCCTGCTGATCATGCTCAAGAAAGAGGGCTTCTATTCCAGCTTGTGCCAAGGTATGCCCGAGAAGGGGCCAGTCGGGCTGGGGGAAGGGCAGCAGCGGGGGCAGGTGGACACCAGAGAAGGACAGGTGGCCGAGTGGACAGAAAGCAGGGCTGCTTAAACCGGAGCACCGGGCAGGGGGTTGGACAGCCCACTTCCTGACCCCTGTCAGACTTCATCTACAGGATGGGCGGCACGCTCTGCCTCCTTTATCTGATCCAGTCCTCGCTGAATGCCAGGCATCCTGCAGGGGATCCTGGTCCTGGGCCTGACCTCCGCCGAGTCCTAAACCTTTGGCAGCCTCAGGCCTAGAGCAAGATGGAGACTTCTAGAAGGGGAAGTGCTGACTCCTAAGCTGGTGAGGGATTTCTGACTAAGGCTCTCTGGTCAAGCTAAGTAAGGCCCAGGAGAGCCTGCAAAGCTGATTGTTTGTAAAGGGCCTGCAGTCTTTTTTCAGAACCTTTTGGCTCCCAGGTCTTCAAAGCACCCATTTGTACAAAGTTAATAGCCTCGTTTCCTCTAGGCTAGGCCTTAGGGAGGGTCCCCTGTTCTATTTCAACTTCTGTGACACTCCAAGAGGGAGTGGGAAGTCTAATGCTCCATATCTAAGCTAACTTAACCGTATCTCACCATATCTCACTGATAACTGCCCTGGGCGGTCTGCTGGAAGGGTGTCTTCCTTTTGGGAGTGGGGGTGGGGGGAAGAGAGCTGTGCTGACAAGCTCTGGCTAAGGAGCTGGATGGATGTGGACTGTGGCACTTCCCCTGCTTATTCTTTTGCTCCAACCTCCATATTGTGAAACAGGCTCTTGGAAGAAGGCTAGCTTGGGTTCGAATCCCACCTCCCACCAGTTTTACCAGCTGGGTGACATCAGTGAGTTCCTTAAAACATTGAACCTCAATTGCCCAGTCTGCAAAATGGGAATAATATTATTTATCCCATGGGAGTGCTGTGAGAGTCAATGGTGCGTGATAAATATTAGTGACCTTCCCCGCTTTACCCGGCTCCTCAGCCCAAGTCACTGGGGGCACCTGCTTTGGCTGTGGGAAGAGAGCTGAGGCCTCCGGGGTGGCGCTAGGGAGGTCTTAAACTCTGCTCTGGGCAGCACCCGCTCCACCAGGGGCTGCTCCGCCCCTGCTAGGGTTATCTGTAAGGAAGCAGCAGGTGGCATCAAGGGATGGCCCCAATGACAGGGCGATGGGGACCAGAGGAGCTGGAGATTAGAGTTAGCAGCTGGCCTGGGGAGGCAGGTTGGTTCAGGAGGAGCGGGCTTGGGGTGAAATGATAGGGTTCCAGGGTGGCTGCGAGAACCAGGCAGAGAGCTAGGAAGGCCTTGGGGAGCTGCGTTTGCAAATGGAGGTGGAGCGTCCAGGTCCCGCCTGAGTTGTTTACCTCGGAGACGACGGAGGACTTGTCCTAATGGCCTTGACGCCTGCCCCCTCTGATCCAGTAGCTCCTTCCCGCCTTTTCCACGTGTCTTCTTTTTTAAATCAACTTTATTGAAGACTATATCACACATTTTGATGAGGTGTGACAAAATTTGTACACCTTGGGAACCACCAGCAAATCAATATTTAGAATATTTCCATCACCCCCAAAACTCCTGCTTCCCTTTTGCTGCCTCTCCTTCCACCTGTGCTTTTTAAAAATGTTGATGAGCTTTATTAAGATATAAGTCACATACCTTACAATTCACCCATTTAAAGTACACAATTTAATCATAGTTATGGGCATATAAAAATGCAGCATAAGGAATATAGTCAGTAATATTGTATTAACTATGTATGGTGTCAGACGGGTACTAGACTTATTGGGGTTATATTAGTATCTAATCACTATCTTGTACACCTGAAACTAGCATAATCTCGTATGTCAACTGTGATTGAAAAATAAAATTTAAAAGACCTATTAAAAATAAATAAAGAAATGGTCTTTGAAGAAATAGTTGCAGTTGAATAAATGTACTTAATACCTGCAAACAAAACAAAAAAAATAAAGTATACGTTTTCATGGGTTTTAGTTTATCCAGAATCGTGCGACCACTACCACACAATCAATTTTGGAACATTTTCTGTACCCCAAAAGGTACCCTGTACCCATGAGCAGTGCCTACTCTCCCCACTCCTCCCTCCACCCACAAGTACTAGGCAACCACTCATCTACTATCTGTTATAGGTCTGCCTATGACAAAAATAGATTTGCCTATTCTGAGCATTTTATACACATGATATCATACAATATGGGGTCTTTAGTGACAGGCTTCTTTCACTTAGCGTGGTGTTTTCAAGGTTCCTCCAGGTTGTAGCATGTGTCAGGACTTGGTTTCTTCCCATTGTGACTAATACTCCATTGTATGAATCTCCCATGTTTTATTTATCCATTCATCAGTGATGGCCATGTGGGCTGTTTCCACTTTTGGGCTTTTATGAATAACGCTTCTATTCGGGTACAAGTTTTTCTGTGGTCATTTGCCTTCCCCTTTACGTATATGTCTGGGAGTGGAGTTGTTGGGCCCTAAGGATAACTCTACATTCAGCATTTCGAGGACCTGCTAGATTGTTTTCCAAAGCAGCTGCACCATTTTACATCCCCTCCAGCGGTGTGCAAGAGTTCCGATTTCTCCACATCCTCACCAACACTCGTTGCTCATTTTTTTAATTTTAGCTGTTTTAGTGGACGTAAAGTAAAGTGTTGTCTTTTTGTAGTTTTGATTTGCATTTCCCCGATGGCTAATGATGTTGAGAATCTTCATGTGCTTCTTGGCTATTGGTCTATCTTTGGAGAAATGTCTTTTCGGATCCTGTGTTCATTTTTAAATTTGGTTATTTGCCTTTTCTCTTTATTGAGTTGTAAGAGTTCTTCATATTCTAGATGCAAGTTTCTTATCGGCTAGTGATTTGCAAAGTTTTTCTCCCACTGTGGGTTGTCTTTTCACATTCTTCATGTTGTCCTCTGGTGCACAAAAAGTTTTCAGAATCTATGAAGTCCAATCTACGTATTTTTTCTTTTGCATTTGTCTCCTGGCGTCATGTTTAAGAAAGCATTGCCTAACCTAAGGTCGCAAAGATTTACACCCGTGTTTTCTCCTCAGAGTTTTAGAGTTTTAGCCCTTACATTTATATCTTTGGTCCACGCTGAGTTAATTTTTCTGTGTGGTGTGCGATATCCACCTGCTGTGTCAAGTTGCCCAGAAGTGAGTGTGCGTCTGAGCCTGGTTGTTTGGGTTCACTAGAGGTGACCAAAGCGAACCCTCCCCGCATTCTCAGTAATTATTTGTCCACTCTTGGGAAGGAGGGCACGACATGTCTCTCTTTCCCCACTTCCCTTTCACTCAAGGGACTCCAGCCTCAGTCCTTGAGACATCAGGGCGATTGGGGGTGCTATACCCCATTCCGTCTCAGTCATGCGGCCCCGTTAAACACACCTACTTCCTGCTTCTTGAAGCCTCATTCACTGAGGTCTTGGCCTCCCTCCACGGGGTCCCAAGAACACAGAATCAGCCCAGAAGTCTGTGTCCCCACGGTATGTGGAAATGGTTACGCAGCATGACTCCCAGCTCTGCTACGTGCTGGCTGGCCGATGTGAACCAGATACTTAACACTCTTAATTCTCTCGGTTCCCCCTAAGTAAAACGGGACCAATAATCCTTACTTCAGGGCTGTCGTGAAAATGAAACGAGAGCAGGATTGCAAAATTCAGGCAACTGGCAGGGGTTGTTATTTGTTATTATGTTCTGGACCCAGCTGTGCCAGCCTTTGCTGTGTGGCCTTAGGCAAGTCACCTGTCCTCTCTGATTTCCACTTCTGAGTCTGTACAATGGAGGGGACAACCCTCACCCTCCATGCCAGAGAGCAGCGATGTGAGGACCAAATGATGTCATTTTAACACACGTGGAGCTCATTATTGAGGTGTTCGTTGGTGTCAACTTTGGGGTTTCCTGTCCACACCCCCTGTCTCCTCAGTGCTTTCTGCTGTCCTTCTGTTGAGGTACACCCTGGGGTGCGTGGTTAACTCAGCTAAAGGGCTGTCATGACTGAAGGGGGCTCTGTGACTCAGAATTTAGGCAGGGGCAGTTCAGTTTATCATACGCTATTGTATATCCACATAAGTGCCGAAATGTGAAAACAAGTACATTAGGCATTTCAAGTACATTAGGCATTTACTGTTCGCTAGTTAGATCATTAGTCCTTACAACAAATCTGTGATGTAAGTGTTATTCTTAATCTCATTTGTAGAAGACAAAGCTGAAGCTTAGACAGGCTAAGTAACTTGCCTGAGGTCCCACAGCTAATAAATAAGGAGCAGAGCAAGCATCCAAACCCAGATCTGACTCTGGAACCTTTCTCTTACGCCTCGTGTAGACATCAGTCCCCGAACTTCAGCTTAGGGTTCTCCTGGGGGAGTTCAGACATAGACAGGACAACTAGCTAGAGCCCAGTCCTTTGGGAGTTTTGGTGAATGTGACTATGTCAGCTGCAGGATAGAGAAGCATCAGGCTCTAAGGAAGATCTCTCTGACAGAGGAGACAAAAAAAAAAAATGGGGTCATTTTGTGAGTGTTTGTGTGGCGATCCTCAGAGCCAGCCTCTCAAGTGGCTGCCACCACGACCCTCATTTCACAGATGGGGTAACAGAGCCTCAGGGTTGCAGCAGCACAGCTAGTGGAGCCAGAATTTAGCTACGTTCCTGTTTTCTGGCGTTCCCCAGACCTAGTCATTTGTAGTTCACCTTCATGATTTTGCTATTTCTGTGTGCCATAAGTGCTGTTATTTACTTAATTCTTCCTTTTCAATCAACTCACTTAAAAAAATTAACCTCATTTTAAAGTGTAACATCCTTAGAATCTTGGGTTTGATGTTACTTATACACACACACCATGCACATGTTTCTAATGCCTCCATATGTATACATATGTATTCCTAATAAATACATACATACATGTGTGGTATACATGTATATTTGTATGTATATATACATCTGTGTGTGCGTATGTGTGTTTTTGATGCTTGTTCAGAAGGCTAATAACTATGAAACATCAAACACCATTGCATATGCCTCCTAAGCCCATCTGGAGCTCCCCACCTGCTGTGTGGACCACACTTGAGGAAACACTGTTCTCTGTGGCTTCTAAGCCTAACTCTATCACTAACCCAGTATGTTTTCTCTGTCCCACCCCACGCCTCACTTGACTGGTCTGTAAAAGGGTTGGACTTCGGAGACCGCTTCTGTCATCCCGACACCGATAGAGGTCTAAGAGGTCTTCGCATCTTGGCCTGCTTCCTTATTGCTTCGGGAGTCTGGCTTTATCCAGCCACGCGGAGTGATCAGGTCTCAGGAACTAGCTCATATTAGTCAAACTCACAAGAGGCTGATCGATAAACCAGAGAAACAAATGCGTTAATTGACCTGGAGTTCTTAGCCACCTAGGTGGCTGGGATCCCGCACCAATGGAAGGACGTGTTTCCTTGTCAGCATTCAAATCAGCCTGGGAAACTTGCTAAGCTGCCCCGTTCAGGACAGAGGGGGCTCTGTGGTGCAGGGGAACGCGCGGGCTCTGGAGACGGTCTTGAGTTTGAATCGGAGCCTGCCTGTAGGAAGCTGTGTGGCTGTGAGCAACTCTGCTTCTCCGAGCCTCATCATCTATAACATGGCGATCATATACTCACTTTTTACGGTGGTTGTGAGAATTAAATTGAGATACTACTTTAAAAAGCCTGGCACAAAGTAGGTGTTAATTAATTGAGAGCTAGTGGGACTGTTCATAGAGGAAAGTGTCATTCGATTGTCAAAGACTTAGGAGCAGGGACAGTGTCTAAAAGTCAGGGGCTGCAAATTCAAGTGTTCACAGAGGTTGGACGGTTAATAATTGGTGAATCAGGGCAGGTGTAAGATGGCTAATGTCCGAGAGCTAAAAGTGAGGTGAGGTTTCGGGGGACCTAGAGCTAAAAGTGAGGTGAAGACTCGGAGGACCCAGCAAGCCCTGCTGGAGAGGGGTGGCCTCCACTCAGCTCCAGCGATGGCCTGATCTTCTGACTTCTTAAAGAGAAGCCAGACTTCTGGGTTTTTATGTTATAGCTCCTGATTTTAAACTGGCACCCAATTAAAATTTCCAAGCCAAACAAAACTTGTGTGAGGGCCATGTCTGGTCCCCCGTGTGCAGCCTCTGGCCTAAATTACCTTTGCATTTCTTCCTGCACTGTCCACGTCCCAACACGGTGCCTGTCATCCAGCAGATATCCAGTGAGTGTGTGTATGTAGGATAAATGGATGCAGGCAAACCTGGCGGAGGAATGAAGAGTGATCATACAATCCCTAAATTATGGGGCTAGCCTGAGCCCCAAAGGCCATGTGGTCTAAACCTTTAACCGCTTCTTCCAGGTGCCTGAGGATCCTCCCCAACCAATGGGAAACTCCCCATGGCCCAAGTCACTTCCTTGCCTGGTTGGCCAGCACTTATGATCTGAAAATTCGTCATGTTCTTCCTGATGTTAACACTTAGGTAGATCACCCTTCTGCCACCTGCATGCCCTTCAGATATCGGAAGTCGGGGGTCATGTCACCATTGAGGGCAGATACCACTCCCCCTCCCCCAGCATTCAGGTGCTGTCACATCCTCCTGTATAGCACCTGTCACTCTTTAAATCAGTATCTGCTCTTTTCCTTGTTTATTATCTAATATAAGCCCCACAAGAGCCAAAAGCTTCCTGTCTTATTCACTGTGGGATCCTCAGCACATAGAGAAGAGGCTGACCACGCAGTGACCTTTCAGGCGGCCACTATCTCCCCTTCATCAGCTTTTTCAGGAGCACAGTCTCATGACCAGGCCCTGTGCAAAGGTCTTTGCTCACCTTCAACTGAATTTCCTAAGGAAGTTCCTTTTACAGCCAAGGGGCCTGAGGCTCAAAGAGAGGAAGTTACTCGTCCAAGCTTGCCCAGCTAGTGCGTGTGAGAATGTAGGCCCCAGCCTTTCCTCCTTCCAAGTGCACCCTGAGTTTGCCCTCGGCAATGATGCCTAAGTAACAAAAAGAAGGCAGGGAACAGCCACCTCAGGTTCCCTGAGCACTGAGTGAAGCGAAATCACACTATTTCCCTCAACACTGTCCTTTGTCTTTAACTTGTCACAACTCCAAGTTGGCAGTTTACCTGGAAGACAAGTCCTCCAGGTTAATGTCTAAAGGGTATCGGAGGGCAGTGCCATGGTCCTAATTCTGTGCCCCAGTTTCATCATCTGGAGACTGGAGAGACTTCATTAGCTGTGAGTTAATACAGTGACCGTCAAGAACAATGCCTAGAAGAACATAGCTAAGTGCTCAATGATTACTAGCTATTATTTCATCAGAATGTCATTTATGGGGAAAGCGTCCTCTGAGTTTTAAGTGAATTCCTATAACATCAACCGAGTATCACTCACTTACTTTGTCCCCAGATTTGAGGGTGCTTCCTCTTGGGGGTCTACACGCCCCCCCCCCCAAGCTTGGACATTAAGTGAATGTTACATGTTGGTAAATACTTTGATGTCCGTGAGCATATTTAAGGGCCACCACCCTGCCACTGGGGATCCTCATGGACCGCTTTGGCCCGCGGCCCACACAGCTGGTTGGCAGGTGAGGTGGCCGGGCTGGGCCTTGGGGACCTGGAGGGCAGGGTCTGGTGCTGCGGGGGGAGGGGAGGCTCCGAGTGTTCAGGCCTCTGATTGGGTGTAGGACTTCCCTTGGGTCAGATACTAGTTGCTGCCATTTACAGAGGCCCCCTCCCTCCACCCCCAACCTGGCAGGCAGTAAATCAGAGGTATGGGATTCGAGCGCAGGACCCCTGATCCCAGGCTGCTCTCTCCTGTGCCCAGCTGCTCCTGCTGTCATGTGCTGAGCCCTCCCTTCCCCCTCCTCAGCTGGGAACACCACCAACATCACCCAAGATGCACAGTTCTGGTGGCCCGGCTGCGCACGCCAGGAAGAGATGCTCAACTTGGGATTCACCATCGGCTCCTTCGTGCTCAGCGCCACCACCCTGCCACTGGGGATCCTCATGGACCGCTTTGGCCCGCGGCCCACACGGCTGGTTGGCAGGTGAGGTGGCTGGGCCTTGGGGACCTGGAGGGCAGGGTCTGGTGCTGCAGGGGGAGGGGAGGCTCAGAGTGTTCAGTCGGCTCCTCCCCCCTCCAATCTCCACAGTGCCAGCTTCGCTGCATCCTGCACCCTCACGGCCCTGGCTTCTCGGGACACCAAAGGTGAGAGGTCTGGCCTCTTGTGCCCCCACAAGAAAAGAATGAGTGGGTTGAAGATGGATGTTTACCCCAGCTCTCGCCCTTGGCCTCCCACAGCTCCCAAATGCCCTCGCCCACCCCTCTCCCCTTTGCAGTTCTGTCTCCGTTGATATTCCTGGCGCTGTCCCTGAACGGCTTTGGTGGCATCTGCCTGACGTTCTCTTCACTCACGGCGAGTATGACAGCCTCTGGCTTGGCAGCAGGGTGCCCTGGAGTGGGGTGGGGGTAGGAGTGAGTGAGGGTGCGAGTGGAGAAGGGACAGTAGACACAGATCAAATTGATGTGCGTGTGTCCTGAGCTCATACTGTCTATTGAGGTCTGTTCTAGGCGTTGGGGCTGCAGGACAAACAACTGGATTTCCTCACTTTCCTGGAGCTGGCATCTGGGGCTTAGGGAGACAGGCAATCCCCCAAACAAGTAAACTAATACATTATGTCCGTAGTCATAGGTGCCAGAAAGGAAATAAAACTGGGTAATGCGATAGTGACGGGGTGGAGGGGAGGGTGGGGGGGAGCCGCTTGGGACAGAGTGTGTGTTTGCCTCGCTGTGTACGTGTGCCGTGTCCACAGGAAAGGTTGGGAGAAGGCACATGCGTTCCTTGTGAGTGTATTCGTTTGCACCATATAAAATTGCCAACACTTGACCTTACTTGACCTGCAAAAACAGTTTTCACATGGCCTGACCTCTTACACATTTGTACGAGTTTTGAGTGTGTCACTCTGGGTGTGTAGGTTGACATATGTGGGTGAGTGTTAACGTGTGTAAGGGTTCAAGGCTTATGAGTGTGTGGTTGGTTCTGGCTGGAGCTGTTTTTTTTTTTTTTAATCTCAGTCTGGGCTGTTTATCTCGGAGGAGGGCCGCCTGACCACCAAACTGGGTGTTTTTGGCCGAATTTCACCTCAGCCCTTCATTCCAGCCCAGGACATTTCACAACTCTAAGGAAGCAGATCCTTTCCTCCTGCCCCCCTCCGCAGCCCCTTCTCCAGGCTGTACAGCTTGGCTCAGGGCCCTACCCCGTCTCCCCTCCCTGCCCAGCGCTGCGGGGCGCGGGGTCCTGACCTTGGACCCTGCGCTGGCCGTCCTGGGGGGCAGGCTTAGGGGGCCCCCCGCCGCGCCTTCCCCCGGCCCCGGCGCCAGGGATCTCCAGCCAATGGCAGGGCCCGGCGCCGTCCCCACCCCCAGAGCCTCTGCGCGAGCTCGGATCCCGCGGGGACAGATCTGGGCTTGGACGTTAGTGCTCCCCAGCCCTTCAGCGCGGGGTTAGCTAGCGGGCTGGCCTTGCGCCCCCGTGCTGGGTGGAGGCCGCGCCCTGGGACCCTTGGGTTGGGGGCGGGGTAGCGGGGCGGCTCCAAGGGCCTGGCCGCTCTTGGCCCTGACAATTATCGCTGGAGGTCTTGGCAACGTGCCTTGCAGATACAGGGTGCCAGGGCAAACCTCTGCCATAGTTGGAGTCACCTGGCCCCACACCCTTTTCACAGCTACTTGGAGGTTGGTGGGGGACTCAATTCTCTGTGTTTATCCACCTTTCTTTCCAGAGCTATTTGGGGTTTCTCTTCTGGGCTTGGATTTCCCCTCCGTGGAGAATAAGCCGTCCCAGCTGTGGGATCTGTTGGCGTGGGGAGGATGGTGGAGAAAGTGGAGTGTACGCTGAGAGGGGCCCAACTTTGCTGTCCCCTCCCTTGAGGACCTGGCTCAGGCCAACAGAGCAGAACATGCAATCAGTTAATTCTCTGCTGGTGGTCTGTGCCTGTCAGAGCCACCTGGACACCCGGCCTCCCTTAGTCCCGCCCTCGCCGCCCTAGCCTGTCCCATGAGGGGTCCTGCACCATCCTGTTCCAGAGACAGCCATGGTCACAGTCTTGGGGTCTGGGATAGAGCTAGAGCAGCCGGACGGAGAAAGTCACGAACACGCTCTGCAAACTCGAGCACGTTTCTTCCCCTCTCGGGGCCTCAGTTTTCTCATCTGCCAAATGAGTTGCACAAGATCAGTGTTTCTCTTTTAAAGAATTAATTCACTTTCCAGTTACAGTCGACACACAGTGTTGTATTAGTTTCGCATGTACCACAAAGTGATTCGACATTTATATACCTTCCAAAGCAGATGAGTGTTTCTTAACCACCCATTCCGTGGGTCATGAAGAAGCGTCGCACGATAAAGAGGCATCCATGAGCACCCGGGGAAAACCTGGGCTTAAAGAAAATGGACAAAATTTCTCTTTGAGGGTGCTTCCGGGGGCCTTTTAAGATGCTAAAGTGCCTCGGGCGTCTATAAGGAGGGGTTAGAGCAGTTTCCACCATTGATTTGCCTTGGAACTCTCCTGAGGTGTCCCAGGAGGCTGGTGTTCCCGGAGCTCACTGTGAGGGCGGCTGGGCCGGCCGCGGCCAGGTTTTTCTGGTGGAGCTGGGAACGGGGAACCCTGGGCGGATGTGGGGGTCTGCCCTGCTCACTGGCGCTGTCCTCTTCCCTCAGCTGCCCAACATGTTTGGGAGCAAGGGCCCCACCATCATGGCTCTCATGATCGGTTCCTATGCCTCTTCTGCCGTCACGTTCCTGGGAGTCAAGGTAAGGAGCTCCTGCGGAGACGGTGAGGTCACTGGGTTTTCTTTTGCCTTCACGCAAGAACTGTACGGGGCTGGGGACAGAGTGGCTAGTGTCCGGTGACCTAATTCCTGCCAGTTAGAGGTCAGTCTCCACCACCTGGGCGGGAAAGGAGGGGGGCAGCGGGCGGGTAGAGCACTGAGTCTAGGCGCTACTGCCAACCGGTGGGTCTGGTTTCTCTTCTCTCCTCCTTTCCCTTACCATTGTCCCAATCCAGGCCTTCGTCCTCTCTCATGGGCCAGTGCAGGCTTTCCCAGCTGGTCTCCTTGCCTCTGATCTTTCCCCTCTCCCATCTGTCATTCACATGACTTCCAGAGTGATCACACATGGAGGACTCACTCACACACCCACTTCGCCTGCAGAATCAAGTCCAACCTCTTCACGTGCATTCAAGGCTCTTGGTTCTCTGGCCTCCCCCCCACCTTACTGGCCACATCTCCTTCCCCTGCCCTGGAGAGTCTGGGTGGCTTGGGTCCAAGGTCACAAAACTAGTTCATGCTAGGCCAGATCCTAGACAGGTCAGCACAGTGGCCTTTGTTCTAGTTCTGGGCAACCTTGGGGCCTCATTCCTCCCTCTGATATCAAATGGTAACAAAGTACCCTTTCAACTGGGCCACCGTAAGCCCCTCACATTCCGGCTCAGGCAGTTAACTTGTTAGCTTAGCAGGCACTTGCTCAGTGTCTGCAAAGGACTTTGGTAGGGTGGCCTTCAGTAGGTCAGGCAGCAGCGTTCCTCCCTTCTCTTTGGCTCAGGCAACTAAGTGTGGCTTGAGGTGGAGCTCTGTCCTGCCCCCAGGGAAGAAGGAGCCCCAAGGCCCAAGGAGCCCCCAGGAGGAGCAGTTTTCCTGGGCAGCACTGGAGCTCTGAGCAGTAGTCTGAGGAGAGGCCAGTCAGTCATCCCAGACAGAGGGTGGCAGAGGACAAGAGAGTCCCACCATCTCACGTACCTGGCTTCCCCAGTAGAAAGGCCGGCACATTGGCACAGAAACCCAGTCAATTCAGAACCTACTTGTCCTGGGTTAAGAGGCCGTGAGCAGAGCATTGTACATCTCCCCTCCCCACTCAGTGTCGCACCTGGGAGCACCTGTGGAAGGTGAGATAAGGCTTGTCAGCTTGGGTTTGTCTTTCCCGTGGGGAACAGGCCAAGAAGGGGCAGGATAAACGATATTGGCCCTGATAAACCTAGAGCCTTCATTCTCTTTTGGACATAAAATGAAATGACATTTTTGTGTAAAATCAAATGTGCACGGAGTCAAGCAGGATTTGTGTGTCTCTCAAAATAATAATTGAGATTCGAAGACATTTTGAGCTCGTGGCCAGCAACTTCAGTTCCTTCATCCCACTCTAGGGGGTGCTGCAGTGAAAAAGGCAGAGGTGGTCGGGTTTCTAGTTTTCTCAACTTCCGGCCTTGGTTTCCTCATCTGCAAACTGGGCACAAGGAATGGGGTAGAAGAGACCTTCCCTAGGGCCTCCGAGGTCTGGGTTCTACCTTTGGCTGGAAAAGGTGGGTCTGGGGCCGGGGGACCTCCCCCACAGGTCTGTCCCCTCCCCCACAGCTGATCTGTCCCCTCCCCCCACAGCTGATCTACGATGCCGGCGTGCCCTTTGTGGTCATCATGTTCACCTGGTCGGCCCTGGCCTGCCTTATCTTTCTGAACTGTGCCCTCAACTGGCCCAGTGAAGCCTTTCCCGCTCCTGAGGAAGGCCGCTACACGTGAGTGGCTCTGTGGGTGCCCTGGGATAGGAGG